GGGGGGGGAGGGGTTGGAAGCTCCATCCCTAGAGGGGTTTCAGTCCCGACTTGACACAGCCCTGGCTGGGATGATGGAGTTGGGTTGGTCCTGCTCTGGGCAGGGGGTGGGACTCGATGACTCCTGAGGTCTCTTCCAAGCCTTATCTGCTAGGATCCTATAGCTGGTCATACGCCTGCCATCACAACGGCATCCCAAGCATCTCCGCTGTGAAGAGGATTAACCCTCAAGCACCCCTGTGACCAGGCAGGGAAGTATTAGCTCTGGGGCCTTTTGCAGCACAAGGCGGATGAAACGACCTGCCTAAAAATCGATCCAGCAGCCTGTAGCTGGCATAAGGACTGAGCGGGGGCCAGCCAGTACCCTAGTCACTAGACCATGCTTCCTAGATGAAGGCCTAGATCCCTGGCTCCTTTCACCCCAGCGTGCGCCCCACACGGAGCTGTGTCTCCGTCTCTGGCGCGTTGACGGAGAATTCTAGAGCCAAGGGGAGTGTTGGGGGCAGCGAGGGCAGAGTGCAGTTGTTCAAGTGAGATCAGGGTTAAAAGACCTTCCCTACCCTGCTCTTGCCACAAGTGTGTGTGTGGGGGGATCGGTGACCACCGCTAAGAGGTAGCACTTCTGCTTTGTGGCTCGGGTGTGAGGTGGCACTTCCAGGAACACAGAACAGATCTCGTAGTGACTCAGGAAAGGGGACCCTGAGCTGAACAGCTCTAGTCCCTGGATTTTCCATGACTCTGCCTCCTCCACCTTCCGACCCGGCTCAGGGTTGATGAGCTTTTGAGGGGCGGATACAGGAGGATACCAGCATTGAACAGAACGATGCTGCTGTTTGAAACCCCATGCTAAGTTGTGCGCAGGCTGGGTACTTACAGCTGGAGCCGTTCCTTTTCGGTGATGCACTAACCTCTCTCCCCCAGGGCGCAGTGACGGTCAGTACTTCTGGGACAGCAACTTCCTTGCCCCTGCAATCACAGGCCAGGTGTGTGGCCCCTGTGCGGCCATTCGGCGAAGGGGAAATCTTCAAGTTACCAGGCAGGCTCAGTGAGTAGATGGTGCCTTGTTTAGCGACTTATAAATTAATGTTATTGGGGGGCACTTGATAAAGCACTGTGCAAACGCAGCATCCCCCACTGCATTAGAGGAGTAACCCCATAAATAACCCCTGGAGAACGCAGAGTCCGGAGCACCTGGGGAAGGGAGGCTGTACAGAACTGGGAAAGCTTTAGGGTTGTTCTCGCCCAGGTTTACAACTGAACATTGACTTACTACAGCTCTGAAACTTCACCACGCAGAAGGAAACTGCTGCTTCCCCTTTGGTTTTTAAGCAGTTTACATGTAAAGATTTGGTGTATTTGCTTTGAGTTTTAATCTCTGCTCTTGCCCAACTGTACTTCCGCTTCCAAATGAGGCGTGTGGCTGACTGGTTTGTTTGTAGCTGTGGGGTTCTACTGTAGCACTAGTAGGTTGTTCTCCTGTGCTCGTGTTAGTTACTTACCCACCTCTACAGTAACTACCGTCTTCATCTCTCAAGGGGGGAGAGGGCACAGAGCAGTTCAGCGGCTTTCCCAGGAAAAGAGACTCAGAATCAGTTCCTGCTGCCTTGATTTCTTTTTTCTCACCCCGGTACCACTGAGCTCCCTAGCACAGTGTAACCTGTATGTGTCTGGGGACAAAGGGGGATAGCCCTGACCAGAGAGCTACCCAGGCTCCGTGCGGGAGGGGCCCTTTCTTACTCGGTGTCTACACAGAACAGCGTCATGGGCCCAGGAGGCTCGACTGCCGTGTACATAACTTGCTCCTGTTCAAACGGACACTCATGACGTTGGTATGCAGAAGAGTCCCAAGCACAGCCCAGTGACGGGATCCGAGTTAGTTATAGAAAACCGACCAGTCTTTCTTAACTTCTCGGATTTGCAGATCAGGCCTCGGAGAGGAGACAGCATGGGAGGGGCTTTCACACCTGTAAAAATAATGTTTTATAGGAGAAAAGTAAAACCATTTCAGAGCAAGTGTTGACAGCTCTTTTCAGTTTTTGCACATAATATGGAAGCGAGTGATGTCTAGTGGTTAGAGCAGACTGAATCAGGATTCCTGGGTTTTATTTCATTTCCAGCTCTGGGAAATGGTGGAGTCCAGTGATTCTGGCAAGAACCCTGGATATTCCCTCTCCCTCCCCTAACTCGAAAGGGAATCTCGTCCCCTAATGTCATCACTAGAAAAGAAATCAGGACTTGTTCTTTTCCCAGATCTGCTACTAACTTGCTCTGTAACCTTGGGCAAGTCATGGCACTCCTGTGCCTCAGTTTCCCCACTTCCTATGGGGCTGTTGCCAGTCACTGCTCGTACAGAGGTACGTGAGGATGCGCAGAGATGAGCTAGCAATTAGGTTACTGGAATGTTCAAAACAGGCCTAAGAGTCAGGCACACGACTGCCAGCCAGCGGGGCTGGGAGGAACAGCAGGGCGGTGCCAGAGCCAAACTCCTGCTGCCCGTTTTCCTTCTCTGGGGTTTTGCAATGTTGAAGCGGTGCCTGTAAAATTGGAGCGGGACCAGTTCCCTCCGGTCTCCCAGGGCTCCCTCAGCCGCCGCACTGCTGTGCTTTCAGGAATCCAGCCCTCGCTGTGGAGCAAAGACGATGTGAGTCACTGGTTACGATGGGCTGAGAAAGAATATTCCCTCCGGCCCACGGACGAGAGCAAGTTTGAAATGAACGGAAAGGCCCTTTGCATTCTCACCAAGGAGGATTTCAGATACAGGGCTCCCAGCTCAGGTCAGAGCAACGGATCGTGGCCAGCGGCGTGGTGCTGGGCAGGGCTTCTGCAAATCTGCCTCGGCCGGCACATGGGACAAGACTGGCAAAGGCAGCAGCATCCCCCTCTGGCGGATGGGACACTGGGCAGAGGCAGCAGCCCCCGTGTGGCAGGAGGCTCTAAGCCCCTTGAGCCTTGCGCAGGATCCGGCCCCGTGCCGAGCTGGGGGCCGAGTCCCGCAGCCGGCGGCCCAGCGACCACGCCACGGTGCCGGAGGGGCCTGCTCTCCCTGCCGGCTCAGTCCCTCCCAGAGCAGCCAGTGCAGACGGCCCCTCTCTCTCTCCCCAGGGGACGTGCTGTACGAGTTGCTGCAGTACATTAAGACCCAGAGAAGAGCCCTGGTGTGCAGCCCTTTATTTAACTCGCCCTTCAGGGAGGCCAAGCACATGCAGCTCCAGAGCCATCACGAAGGTATCCAGCCTCTTTAGCAGCCTCCGGTGGGGCGGGCGGGGGCTGGAAGGGGGTTGTTAAAGAAACAGCCCTGTAAGCTCTCATTTGCGTATGACCTTTCTGTCAGAGGGAGGCAAGGCCTAGTGGGCAGAGCACAGGAGTGAGTCCCCGGGGCTGTGGCGTAGCCAGCAGGGATGTTAAAAACGTTTATTTTTGTAAACGTGTAATGTGGGGCTGGGGTGCAGGAGTGCCAGTTCTAGGGAGTGGAGGACGGTTTGGGAGGGGCTGGGTCCCATGCCCCTTTCTCCCCCCATCACCCCTTCTCCTCTCCTCCCCCATCCCCCCTTCTCACCTCCGCCCATCCCCCTTCTCACCTCCACCCATCCCCCTTCTCCTCTCCTCCCCATCCCCCTTCTCACCTCCACCCATCCCCCTTCTCCTCTCCTCCCCATCCCCCTTCTCACCTCCACCCATCCCCCTTCTCCTCTCCTCCCCATCCCCCTTCTCACCTCCACCCATCCCCCTTCTCCTCTCCTCCCCATCCCCCTTCTCACCTCCACCCATCCCCCTTCTCCTCTCCTCCCCATCCCCCTTCTCACCTCCACCCATCCCCCTTCTCCTCTCCTCCCCATCCCCCTTCTCACCTCCACCCATCCCCCTTCTCCTCTCCTCCCCATCCCCCTTCTCACCTCCACCCATCCCCCTTCTCCTCTCCTCCCCATCCCCCTTCTCACCTCCACCCATCCCCCTTCTCCTCTCCTCCCCATCCCCCTTCTCACCTCCACCCATCCCCCTTCTCCTCTCCTCCCCATCCCCCTTCTCACCTCCACCCATCCCCCTTCTCCTCTCCTCCCCATCCCCCTTCTCACCTCCACCCATCCCCCTTCTCCTCTCCTCCCCATCCCCCTTCTCACCTCCACCCATCCCCCTTCTCCTCTCCTCCCCATCCCCCTTCTCACCTCCACCCATCCCCCTTCTCCTCTCCTCCCCATCCCCCTTCTCACCTCCACCCATCCCCCTTCTCCTCTCCTCCCCATCCCCCTTCTCACCTCCACCCATCCCCCTTCTCCTCTCCTCCCCATCCCCCTTCTCACCTCCACCCATCCCCCTTCTCCTCTCCTCCCCATCCCCCTTCTCACCTCCACCCATCCCCCTTCTCCTCTCCTCCCCATCCCCCTTCTCACCTCCACCCATCCCCCTTCTCCTCTCCTCCCCATCCCCCTTCTCACCTCCACCCATCCCCCTTCTCCTCTCCTCCCCATCCCCCTTCTCACCTCCACCCATCCCCCTTCTCCTCTCCTCCCCATCCCCCTTCTCACCTCCACCCATCCCCCTTCTCCTCTCCTCCCCATCCCCCTTCTCACCTCCACCCATCCCCCTTCTCCTCTCCTCCCCATCCCCCTTCTCACCTCCACCCATCCCCCTTCTCCTCTCCTCCCCATCCCCCTTCTCACCTCCACCCATCCCCCTTCTCCTCTCCTCCCCATCCCCCTTCTCACCTCCACCCATCCCCCTTCTCCTCTCCTCCCCATCCCCCTTCTCACCTCCACCCATCCCCCTTCTCCTCTCCTCCCCATCCCCCTTCTCACCTCCACCCATCCCCCTTCTCCTCTCCTCCCCATCCCCCTTCTCACCTCCACCCATCCCCCTTCTCCTCTCCTCCCCATCCCCCTTCTCACCTCCACCCATCCCCCTTCTCCTCTCCTCCCCATCCCCCTTCTCACCTCCACCCATCCCCCTTCTCCTCTCCTCCCCATCCCCCTTCTCACCTCCACCCATCCCCCTTCTCCTCTCCTCCCCATCCCCCTTCTCACCTCCACCCATCCCCCTTCTCCTCTCCTCCCCATCCCCCTTCTCACCTCCACCCATCCCCCTTCTCCTCTCCTCCCCATCCCCCTTCTCACCTCCACCCATCCCCCTTCTCCTCTCCTCCCCATCCCCCTTCTCACCTCCACCCATCCCCCTTCTCCTCTCCTCCCCATCCCCCTTCTCACCTCCACCCATCCCCCTTCTCCTCTCCTCCCCATCCCCCTTCTCACCTCCACCCATCCCCCTTCTCCTCTCCTCCCCATCCCCCTTCTCACCTCCACCCATCCCCCTTCTCCTCTCCTCCCCATCCCCCTTCTCACCTCCACCCATCCCCCTTCTCCTCTCCTCCCCATCCCCCTTCTCACCTCCACCCATCCCCCTTCTCCTCTCCTCCCCATCCCCCTTCTCACCTCCACCCATCCCCCTTCTCCTCTCCTCCCCATCCCCCTTCTCACCTCCACCCATCCCCCTTCTCCTCTCCTCCCCATCCCCCTTCTCACCTCCACCCATCCCCCTTCTCCTCTCCTCCCCATCCCCCTTCTCACCTCCACCCATCCCCCTTCTCCTCTCCTCCCCATCCCCCTTCTCACCTCCACCCATCCCCCTTCTCCTCTCCTCCCCATCCCCCTTCTCACCTCCACCCATCCCCCTTCTCCTCTCCTCCCCATCCCCCTTCTCACCTCCACCCATCCCCCTTCTCCTCTCCTCCCCATCCCCCTTCTCACCTCCACCCATCCCCCTTCTCCTCTCCTCCCCATCCCCCTTCTCACCTCCACCCATCCCCCTTCTCCTCTCCTCCCCATCCCCCTTCTCACCTCCACCCATCCCCCTTCTCCTCTCCTCCCCATCCCCCTTCTCACCTCCACCCATCCCCCTTCTCCTCTCCTCCCCATCCCCCTTCTCACCTCCACCCATCCCCCTTCTCCTCTCCTCCCCATCCCCCTTCTCACCTCCACCCATCCCCCTTCTCCTCTCCTCCCCATCCCCCTTCTCACCTCCACCCATCCCCCTTCTCCTCTCCTCCCCATCCCCCTTCTCACCTCCACCCATCCCCCTTCTCCTCTCCTCCCCATCCCCCTTCTCACCTCCACCCATCCCCCTTCTCCTCTCCTCCCCATCCCCCTTCTCACCTCCACCCATCCCCCTTCTCCTCTCCTCCCCATCCCCCTTCTCACCTCCACCCATCCCCCTTCTCCTCTCCTCCCCATCCCCCTTCTCACCTCCACCCATCCCCCTTCTCCTCTCCTCCCCATCCCCCTTCTCACCTCCACCCATCCCCCCTTCTCCTCTCCTCCCCCATCCCCCCTTCTCACCTCCGCCCATCTCCCCTTCTCCTCTCCTCCCCCATCCCTCCTTCTCACCTCCGCCCATCCCCCCTTCTCACCTCCGCCCATCTCCCCTTCTCCTCTCCTCCCCCATCTCCCCTTCTCTCCTCCCCCCATCCCCCCTCCCCCCCCCCCCCCCCCCCTTCAAAAAAAAAAAAAAAAAAAAGAAAGAATATCAACAACCATAAGGAGTATACATGATGCATCTTTTATGGCTTCTTTCCACCTTGTACTTGAATAAATTTGTACATAGTCCTACATTAATTGTTAACTACTTGGAATAATTGTTATATACATCTCTTTTCTCTGATCCTATGACAGAGGATTAAAAGACAGACTTTCCTTGCATCCCAGTAGATGACACTGTAATATTGTCTATCCATTAATCCACTGTCATAGAGTGGAAGAAGAGGGTGCTAAGATAAACAGTTAGCAATAAGCACTTTTCCTTTTCTTTTGTAAGGGCACAACTATAGGAGACTGCTTTGAATGATAAATTATTCATTAGAAAATATTCTATAGTATTTGTTTTTGTTTGGAAGAGCAGTATTACTGCTCTTTCTGAAGGATGCGTGGTTTATTTGCTTATTGATTTTGATTTTTAATATTGAATGGCTTGTAAACATTCGATAGAATCTAAAATTTGTATCTGTTGAGTGGCTGTAAACGGCAGTATCTCAGTTATGTAATGAGATTTACAGGTTAATAATGTGCTTTAACGAAAGATGGTTGACAGTGAATTTATTTTTATATATATATATATGTATATATATATATATATATATATATATATATATATATATATAATATATACTATATTT